ACCCAACCCCAAAAAAAAATTTTTTTTTTTTTTTTTTTTTTTTTTTTTTTTTTTATTATAATTTTTTTTTTTTTTTTTTTTTTTTTTTTTTTTTTTTTTTTTTTTTTTTTTTTTTTTTTTTTTTTTTTGAAAAAAAAAAAAAAAAAAAAAAAAAAAAACAGAGGTCATTGTAAGAATTTATTTTCTAGCAAAGGTTTAGAAGAATATAGTGATTTTTCAAAATTTTGAAATTATATTAAGGATGTATTTAGAGTGAGATGAATATATAACATTTGGGAAAATTTGTAGCAAAGGTACCAAGTCTTTCGTCTATCAGCAAATTTGACCCAGACCTTTGATTTGTGCCATCAGAGTTGCCAAACCTTTAAAAATTGTGCGCATGGAGTCCAAATAGACGGAAACCATTAATTTGACTGTTAGTTGACCAGAGAATTGACATTGACCATATTTTTGACTAATTTTAAAAAGAGAAACACAATTATAATATATTAATAATTAAATGCTAAAAAATAAAACAAAACCACCACTACCACTAGAAATAGCGGTTGACGCCACAGCTACCTACCTAACATCGTCGCCACAGTTGTCGTCATCACCACCATAAAATAAAATAATATATCTAATAGGAATAGAAAATGGGTTGATAAGAAAACTCTAAGAATTTGTGGCTGCAATTAAAAAACTTCCAGGTGATCACTCTTTACAAAACTCAGCCTGAGGTGCAAAAACGTCAACCTTTTGAATCACAAGGATTCTCATCTTTGTCTATGTTTTATTATTTTTAACTTTCAACTTTTATTTAGAAAATTTCAACTTTTATTTAGAAATTCGAATAGGAAAATTAATTGTTGTTCTTGAAAAGATATCGCCTACTTCAGTTCTACGTAACATTATGTGAGTTTCATGCGACTATTTAGGGATAATTTGGTTTGTGTTTTAGTTTTGAGAGTGTTTTAAGATTGTTATAAATGCATAAGGTTTGTCAATTTAAAAATTATTTCTTAAACAGAAAATTAAAAAGCACGTTTGATTTAAATTTTTGAAAAATTATTTTATAATATTTTTATTTCATGAATTTGAAATTATATATATATAATCTTACAATATTTTTTATCCTTATAAAACTAAAATAAATAATAAATAATAAATGAGTTCAAAATATAGGAAATAAAAATAAAAATTAATGATATCGACTATAAATATATTTATCTGTATTCATTTAAATATATTTTTATTTAATTTTTATGTAAATAATTATTAAGAGCTTGAACTATTTTTATTTTTTATAATTTTATTTTTCAATTTTTTGGCCTGTTAGAGTTTTAGAATTTTTTTTTTATATTTTATCAATTTCATTTTTTTAATTTAATTTGTTAGAATTTAATTTTTTTTATTTTAAAAATTTTTAATT